AAATCCGACACCAGCGTCGGTCTTGCCAGGTTGTTCTCATATTATAAGTCATCATCCTTTTCCGTTAAAAAGGGGGTCAAATGCACTGAAGCCTACCCAACCCTCCTTTAGCTACAGCCTTTGCTTGTTAACGAATGGCAATTTGAAGCACGGGCCTCTCCAACTATGCCATCGAGACAAGGATTTTGTGATATAGGTATCAGTGAAATTAAGTAATGATATTGTTTTATGGATAAAACTTCAAAAGCGATTTAAACCTTATTCTTGAGGTATGACAGACGGAGAGGCTTCAATAAGGAGTACTATTATCCATTATGTTGGACCACTTCGAAAACAGGCCTCGTTCGACTCGAAGCTCTTAACCTTCCTAACAGCTTTTGCTGGAACTTCCCCCTCGTCATTTAGACTCGTGCTGTTATTACAATCCATGTTGAAATCAAACAAAAGCTAAAAATACCCTCTTACATTAGGATAGCCCATAAGATATTACCGATTAAATTACTGAATCATGTTATACACAGCCTTGCGAAAACGAAGCAAGATTTAAGATTTGAAATATCATGTCGCGCCTAAGTGTTCCTCATAAAGCCTTAGTCATTATAGCTTTAAAAAATTATCCTCAATTGAATTTTTTTCAATATTGATTTAAGGAGAAACCACTTAAGTCTTCCAGCTTTTTGTTCAAGTTAAACCAACATTATTGAAGTTAATTGTAATAGGCGTAACTATTCATTAAGGTGAACTCCGAGGAGCAATTCAGTTACCAATTAGTATTACGGGCACTAAACTACTTAACTTGATTGTCAGACTCATTGGTAATAAAGGAAACTCGATGTATAATCCGGTGATAAATTAAGTTGCATACGTGGCGAGCAAAAAAAGAGCTTAATTCTATACTGACAATGGGAGGGGGGCTTTTATCTTTTGGATAACAGAGAGTCATGAGCAGACATTTGTAGAGTCGAAATAGGATTTGAAAAATTATATTTTCTACAGGTGTAGAGGATGAAAATATGTACAAATTATGATTGAATTAAAGCGTTAGGTTTAGTGGGAATTTTTATACTACTTTGAGCTGATCTGTCCACGTTGAGCACGACATGAACTCAAGGTGAAAACACTGGCTAGAAGATTCTGCTTACTTGTTTCATTTTTTTTCGTACTTAATCATGGCTACGAATGTTGGCTTTTCAGCGCCTACTGATACAAACGTTTGAGGGACTGGGTATTATTACAATTTTGCTGATTTGCGTACGGAGCTTTTTTTTTTGAATAACTGAGAAACTGCATGAAAATGGAAAAGAATAGTGGTTAAAACTATGAGAAACTTTTTACTTTGGAAAACTCCACTTGAAATGTTTTTTATCATCAGTCATAACTTGATAAAGTACAAAAGTACGCCACATCCTAATTTTTGCTTGTTTTTATATAACATTTGTTGCACGTGTAAACATAATTACATTGCACGCCTGTATGCTTGCAATTACTGGTTTATTATATCAATTTATTTTCGGACACAACTCAAGTTGAAGACTTTGCTCTTTCCACCGCAGCGGATAAATCTCAGAAAATTAATTGTAGAGACTTTTTACAGGAAATAATCACACCACATTACCCTTAATTACAGACTGAACCGCTGATACATACAATATTAAACATTATCAGATATTATCTTTTTCCTAAAATTGTCATATAAAGGTTAAAAAAACCAAACATTCTCTGTTGTAAACCTGAAATTTCAGCCGAGAAAGTTAACAGAATGAACCTGAATTCGCCGCTTAACCAGAACGTGCGTAAACTTTCAACCTCTTTTCTCAGTGATATTTGAAACACAAAGCTTCGAATCTGCTTGGCAGGCGTGATGAAAATAAGTTAAATCATCCACAGAGTAGAGTGATCAAACCAGAACAGGAAAGAGAAAAACATTCTCTAAATGTGGATTATTCTTTTTACCAAGGAGGAACAGACGCAAACTCACCTTGTGGTCCTCCAATGCGATGTGTGAGTCATCTATATGGTCACTACTGCAATTATATACTGCTTCAGATAGTGCACGTGTTTCGTGGTTCAGGCAAACATGTCATGTGACTGGTTAGAATATTCTTGCTTTTTCTTATTGTTTAGATATCAACTAACTTCATTTTAATTTCCTTATCGTACCACTTCATTTTAAATACGAGGACTTCTTTTCCACAGACAAGTTTTGCCCTTTTTGTATTTCCGTTAATCGAGAAAGTAGTATAAACAAAGTCTAGGATATGGATTTTCGGACAATGATAAATTTTTTAATATTAAAAACATGTCCACATCCGCTCTAACACGAACATGAGAAACTTTTATTTTTTTCAGGTAAAATGTGCCAAAGCTCTTTTAGAGCATGGAGCGTCTATATGCAAGATATTATAAATTTTTTACAATCTCTTGCTATATATATGATAAACAACGAGTGCCGGAGTAACTTCACAAAGCCAACACGAAAGACGTACGAATGGTGCGGCAACTGAACTTGTACTTGTAATTTTAATCTCGGCCAGAGTTTTGATACTTTGGTGACCACTGCCTCACTGATACGTAACAGTGTTGTGTCCCACCTACGCCATACAAATCCATCAGCGTTTTGTGTTATTCTCTGAAAAACAACATCGTAATTACTTTTTGTTTGTCTCCATAAAACGACAAAGAGCTCCTATCTACGTCTTTCCCCGTCATAAACGAGTCGAAACTTTCTCAGGAGAACTTCTTCCGTTCAGATGATTCGTTTTCAAAATCAGCAGTACTCGGAGGAAAACTCAATTTCAAGCCACATCTGGAAGAAAATATGAATCTGTTCTCTAAGTTACATCCCCAGTTTGAGTAGAATGAGGGAGTATGTGATGCCATATTTTTTTTTTTAGGTAAGGCAGGAAAATCTTAAGGCTGCATAATCGGAGCACTACCGCAAGGAGGTATGGGGGAAAAATCCACACATTTGGAAAAATATCTCTGTGCCGATGTAAATATTTTTTTTGTCCCACGATCATTGTTGCTGTATTGCGCGTTTGGATCCATTGTATACATATATAATATTTAAAGTCAATAACTGGAAGGTATTACACGTAATAAAACTCTCGGTATGTAACTGAAATAGTAAGTCTACTAATATGTTAACACCAACTGCTATGAAAAGGAACTAATGATGAAACGTTGTCTTGATAAATCAAATCGTAAGAATGTTTGAAGACAAATTGACTGAGGGCCCCAACAGGATGAATTAGTTTTATCCTGGGTTAGAATAGATTTTAATTAAAAATATAATTGTTAGCCCTTCACATTTCAATTCGAGATTCGTTGGCCAAAAGGATGACACTTCATTTCAATTTCTTTTTTACACACAGATAAATATGGCTTTGTAACCTTGATTTCTCTGATGGGCAAGTGACGGTCTTCCCAGTGATCTCTTTTTGTCATGCAATTCGTCGGTTTATTAGTTTTTAGCTCCTTTTCAGTAATTGGAAATTGAAACCCATTGCTTAAGCTGAAAGGTACTGAAAGGTTTAAATTGAAATCAGCATTTCATTTCCCGATCAATTCTATGCCATTGTAAAATTGCAGCTGCTTTATTGGATTTGAAAATTTTTCTGTTTTTTTCTCTCGATGAATAACTTAAACGATGTTCAGGTTTCGTGCAGTGTGTAATCATTACTGGACTTAAACTGAACTAATAACGTCCTATTCTACTACAAAATAAACGTACCGCTGCAACAATAGAGTATTAGGATCAAATTTTTGTTGAAGACCTCTTAGAACAGGTGTTCGTTTAACTACCCTCAAAATTATTTCGAGACATTTTATAGATAGTTTATATCCCAGCACTGTTATACTGAGGCCGTCGCTAACAGTTCAAACTAAGTAAATTAAGTTCGAGTCAAGCGGAATCTGTAGGTTTGGCATAAAAAGTCTTTGGAAGTTCTACACCTGTCAATCAGTTTAAGCTTAAATTACAGTAATCTAACGATGAAAAATTTCAGTGAAAGTGCGAAAGAGGAAAGTTTTATTCAAGCGATGTTTTGCTCGCGATTTTTCTATGGGACACCCTCTTGGTCACTGGTGCAATACAGCTTTGCCGGCGCTCACCTTCTTCTTGCTCTTTCTGCTTTCGTGGGAAACATGATCATCCTAGTTGCGTTAAAGAAAGAATCTTCTTTCCACCCGCCAACTAAACTCCTCTATCGAGTCCTCGCATTCACCGACCTCATGGTAGGGATTGTAGTCATACCCATCAGTGTAACCCATTATTCATCAAAAGCTGTCGAAAACTGGAAACTCTGCTACTTGACAGGAATTGCAGGGTACGTTTTTGGTGTCATTTTATGCGGTGTGTCTTTGAGTGTCCTAACAGCAATCAGTGTGGACCGCCTTCTCGCGCTTACACTGCGTTTAAGATACAGACAAGTCGTGACTATCAAACGCGTCCAAATTTTCCTCTTAATTTCATGTGTTCAAAATATAATGAACAGCTTTCTGCCTTTGTGGAATGCTCGTGTTTTCGTTGTCATCTGCTGGGTATGTGTATTGCTGTGTTTAGCCACCTCAACATTTTGTTACCTAAAAATTTACTGGATGCTCAGAAAACCACATGTGCGAGTACAGGTGCGAGGCAATCTTCCCTGGGTTCAACAGAGCAGAACTTTTCGAATGAGCATGGTGAAGTTTAAGAAGTCAGTTTCAGCCGTATTGTGGGTTCACGTGGTTTTGGTGGCGTGCTATACACCTTTTACAGTTCTTAATTTGCGCTTAAGCCTTTCTTCCGATATGAACGCTAACTCTACGTCAGTTATTGGAAAGTTCTTTTCCATCACTCTTGTTTACTTCAACTCTTCACTGAATCCCATCGTATATTGCTGGAGGGTCACAGAAGTAAGAGAGATTGTTAAAAACATGCTGACGAAGTTTTCTTGCATGTCAAGATAAGTACTCCGGGGAAGATCAAAGTGAAGAGGGTTGAATATATAAGGACACTTCTCAGACTGTCACATTGCTCCACAATTTGACTGAGAGAAGCAAAATAAAACTGTACATGTAAAATGAATAATAATTATGAATTTCTGAATTGATTTCTACAAGATTTAAGTCCCTTTATCTGAAAGCAATTCCTTTTGCGTAAATCAAATGAGATGATGTATTTAATATCCTGCTAAAAGCAGCTCAAGTGTTTGTAGTAATTGAATTATTTTTTTTCCCAAACAGCTATTGATTTTTCCTTTTCTTTACATTAATTTGACCCTTTTACATTTGACAGCTGATAGCAAAGCTATTTACTTTCATAAAAATAGCAGTTTTATCCTGTAATTGAAGTATTCATGAGCTTCTTTACGAGTAACAGGCGACGACTTCTTCCAATTTTGAAAGAGTTAACAGCTAGCGGCACCTCTCTGTTCCGCAATGGTTAAAGAAAAAATAAATTATAACTCTCCTCTTTAAGTTTTCATGGAATAGTAACTTTAAATTGGCAAGATAGT